AAGATTTCCATTGGTTAGAATATGACCGTGTGATCAAACCCAGTTGTGTTTATTTCTGTATATACTGTATGGAGAACTACTTTATACTAACTTAATATAAACATGGTCATGTGCAAAGTAACTAATGTAAACTGAATCAGAAAGCATACACATTGCATACCTTTAAAATGAAATAAAAATAGTGGGCTTGTATTGAATAAATTGATCTTACAAAATTTGTACTGGAAAGGGAGGTTTGTGTGTGTCAAAAACTAACATTATAACAGTTGGACTTGCAGTCTTACTATTAAGATGTCAACTGTGATAGTTACATAGTGGGGGTGGGTGGGAGATAGTTCTCATACTTCCCTGTTGTAACAGATGTCTTGGACTGTTTGACTATTGGGCACTATAACAATTTCATTTGTAAGTAGCCTTTGATGGTAGCCTACACTGTTAATGAACATGAAAATAGATTTAAAGAAATGAAAATTGGTTAATCATGTGTCTGGACAATAACATCCAGCTCATGAAATCATCAAGTCCTTAAGATTTTTATGTTCAACAAAAGAACATATCCTTTTCTTTGAATATGGAATTCTGCTAAAAACACATGTGCCAATAAGAATAAAATATTAGACCATGCTGTGGAATGTTCAAAACCTTAGAATGATTACCATTGGTAGAATTATTTGATTGATTCTGACATAGCTATTAAGTTACAAATGAAGAATACTTTGTTCTGTCAACAGCAATGTAACAAAAATTCATGTATTTAATTAAAGCTCTACAACATATAAAAATATCTTTAAAAAATAAAAATAATAGAATTAATAAAATTATAAGGGATTGTAATTGTAAGAGTTTAATGTGGTCATTTTCTGGGTTTGCCTTTGTATAAACTATCTGTTGCTGACTCACACAGCTTACATAATGCCCTTTGGACTTTATTTGCTTGTGATTTGATAACTAACAGTTTATACCTGGATAAACTCTGAACAAGCAACATAATTCCTAAATAACTGCAGAGCAGAACCTTTCTCCTTATTAAGTTTCATAGACCCAATACAGTGGCAGGTCTGTGTCTACCTAGTTGACCCCACTTATAAGTGTATATATATGCTGGTATACTTGGTTATGGTATTAGGTCTCAATCTAGGCAGTCCACTCTAATCATATCATGTAGTGGTCTCTCTAGATTTTTTTGTAATGGGAGTGGAAAATTTTAAGGTTTTGAAATTGGGGAGGAAGTTTTTATTAGGTTTACTGGTTATAGACCAGAAGAACTAATGTGGGATGGTTTTTCAACCATTTGTCCTTCAGACGGTTAGCACAAGTTTGTTATTGTTACTTCCCCACAACTACTTGGATTGTCATAAAACTTCAAACACACATATTCATCACATCGTCTTTTTGAGCTGAAATGAAAATGGTGACACTTGCACTATCATTTGGCCACCTCAGCCTCCATCTGAAAATCTTGGTACTCATCCTGAATTGGTTGGTGATACCATTATTGAAACTTATGTCCAGTTGGTTGCTACAGATATGGTGTCCAATATGGCCATCACATCAGCTATGTTGCAACTCATTTTTTTTCTCGTGAATAAAAAAAGGTCATATCGGCATGGTTTTCACTTGAATACTAATCTTATGATGTCCAATTGGTCATATTTTTAAATGTTGCTAGTCTTTAGTCTAGTATAGCTGCCACAGCATTCCTCTTGTAAATCTTTTGCTTTTGCTATTCTTGAATGGAAAGCAATATCTTGAAAATAGTTATTTCTCCTTTTCTCAAAAGTGGTGTTTTCAGCAACAGACTTCATAAGGTGTCTAGTTAGTCCAAAACGAAAATGTTGCCAATTTGACATACAATATGGCTGCATTGATGGCTATCTTCAACATTTTCTTTACTCCCTCTGAATGGATGAACATTATGACATAGGATTTACACTCAAAGACTTCTAATGATATTCATGTTGTCCTAAATGAAAATTTTGCCAAGCTGACATTCAGTTTGCATACCGTTGAAAATTTTGTCATTGCTGAAGAATATAAGTAATGGTCAACACTCGACAGTTAAAAGGAAGAAAAGGTCTTACAGAGGTCTCTCTAAGATTTTAAAACTAGGAGTTCAGGACTCTTAATTTGGTAAAAATTGGAGTCCCACCAGCAAAAGTTGCAGTTCCAACAGCAAAATTTGCAGTTCCCACTAAGCCAGAAATCACATACTTTCTTACACTTGGCTACGATTACATCCAAACTATGTTATAACAACTTTAGCACAGTTTTGAATCTCATTGAAATCTTCATTTTTCCGTTTAACTACAAAACACTTGTCTAAATTTGCAAATGGCATTTTGTCAAAGTCTCTTGATTTCAAGTTTGCAGGCAATAATTATACAGCAATAACCAGAAATTAAATCAATAACAGTGATTGCACTGGGCTTCACCAGTTTCACAAATTGCAATTATGTTTTACATATTGGCAACAAAATATACCATCTGACCATATTTTTGGCTACAACACTTTTTGGCTGATAAAAAGGTATATATAGTCTTGAGTTTGGAGTGAAGAAATTAAAAAGTACCATGACAGGGAGTGAAAACTTGGATATAAAAATGCACTGGAATCAATTGTTACATAAACAAATCCTTTTCAGGTTGACCAACCAACCTAACAGTTAATTCTTAGGTCATAATGATTATCTGGCCTTGCTACTGTATAATCAAATAGCCTTGCAGCTGACTAGCTACAATCAACCACCTCTACAGTTGACCACAGGACAGCAATTAAAAAAATATATATAAAAAAACAACAGAAGAATATAGTTTTGCTGCAGCTTCAATTAAAACTGATTACCTCTGAAGCACCAATATATAATAAGGATTTGTTTAAAAAAATTGTATCAATGTTTTACAATTCATTTGATGTTGCCACAGCAATAACAATGGGGTATTTGTTTTGTACTTCAAAGGGAGCCTATATCAGCGCTTTCAATATCAAAGCAAGCTGGAGACCTTTGATCAAAAAAGTCAGCAACAAACTAAAATAAAAGCATTGCTTCAGTTTTCATAGTGATTAGAACATATTTATTGTGCCGAAAGTTTCCTCCTTGCAACAAAAATGTGCATACAGAGGAATCCTGTGTGGGTGTTTTTCTGTGACCCCCCCAAATTTGCATCCAAATATGCATAATTAAGCGTTTCCAAGATTTTTGGTCTTACCATAAATACCTGGAAACTCATGTCACCCAGTAGAGCATCAGTCCTATCAAGGGACTCTTGTTTTAAGTCAAATAAACTGTAACTTGGCTAAAGAAATGCTTTTGAGAACTGCATGTACTTAAATGACGAAACTGCTAATGATAACAATTGTTATTGGATTTGTTATTCTAAAAGCTACTTGACTTTAAAATGATTTCCCTAGCTTGATCAATTTTAAGAGGGATTCTTAAAATTATGCAGAGATTTATGCAGTTATGCTGTAATTAGGTTTGATTTGATGTAAAGTCACCAAGAAACTTTATGTCTGTTTTACATTGGCGATTTTAATCAGTTTTAATTTCCAATTATTGACTGGGTGCCTTTGCAGAATTCGGAATTATAGATATTTCTAAATTATGAAACATTTCCTCTGCATCTCAGAACAAATTCATGTCAAATTTAGCACAAGTATTTATGATAAATGCATTCAACATTATTGCACTGGATAATTGAAGGATGGATACATACAAGATACATGCAATAATCGTTGGTATAGCCAGCATTTCCTTCTTTCAATTACATATAGGAGACACAGTGGCTCATTGATTGGCATGCTAAGGGGTTTTGATGGAGTCGCCAGAATGGTGTCCTTGGGCAAGGCTCTTTGCACCTGCTGCCCCTGCACTTAATAACCTAATTTTGTTGTTCTGCTATGAACACCAAACCAAGTTCATTCTTCTTTCATTTAATTTTCTTAAGTGTCATGGTATTTCTTCATACAACAGCTGGAGGTGCATATATAACATCCCATGATGTTTAGCAGTTATTTTGATCAAGCAAGTACTTGAGAGCAAAGACAATGAAAGGGGGATTCACAAAGCTAATTGCTTACTTCCAATTCACTTGCTGCCAGGTAAAAGTTTACCATAATTAGAATATCAGTTGAATCTGTGGTTGTGTGGTTTTTTTTTCTTTTTTTTTTCTTCGAGGACAAAGGGATTAAATTTTATCCAGTTTGTGTTATTTGGATTTTTCACATAACTTAAAAATAATTCAGTCATTTTGCTACAATGTCTGAAGTGTGGCAGTTCATAGTGTTGTCTAGCACTTGGGCATCATGTCACAGACATGTATCATCATATCTCATCCATTTACATTATACTGACAGCAGGCCAACCAGTCCTAACACTAAACTCTTAGGATGGAGCACCTGGTGCTGCAGCTGTTAGTACCATTCTTATAAGTCTTTAGTATGACTTGGCTGGGGGTTTGAACCTGTGACTTCCTCATCAGAGGAAAATGCTCAAACTACCTAGGCCAAGAGAGCAGTCAAATTTGTCCAGAGTGCATTGGATAAACCCTCATCATGACATATAAAAAAATGATAACATTTAAATTGATTTTGTTAACAGTTCTAAATCATTAAATAATTTTCTTCCACAGATGTTTATGCATGATTTTTTTTTTAGCTTTTAGTGTTTTTTCAAATATCCCCATTTTCCATGCCAAACAAAGATTGGAAAACCTATGTTTATTGGACATTTGCCATATATGTTCACTTATATGTGAAGTCAAATTGAAAACAACAAAGATCCTGATCTGCAGTAGCATAATGTATCTACATATTAGGGTCTGTCCTGTTTGCTCAACAGATTACTCCTGACAAACTGCATAGACCCAGATCTGCTGGTGTTTTATATGATGCCAGGTCTGGGTCTGTGCATTTTGCAGTTGGACTTGTCTTGTAAGCAAGTACATATGATGCCTATGATTGTGTTTAATGTGTACCTGAGAGGTTAGGGACCTCCTGTCGCAGCTCTAGTGGCCTAGTGGTTATAGTGTCTGCCTTAGACGCAGGAAGGCATGGGTTCGATCCCCGGTCGAGTCATACCAAAGACGTATAAAATGGTACTAACAGCTGCCTTGCTTGGCACTCAGCATTAAGAGGTTAATTTTAGAACTAGTTGGCCTGGTGTCAGGATAATGTGACTGGGTGGGACATCATGCTACATGTCTGCGGCATGATGCCCCAGTGCTTGACATCACTATAAACTGCCACACTGCAGACATAGTGATGTGACTGAAAAATTGTTAAAGCTACCATAAAAATCATAACCATATCACATCCTGTCGCAACACAGGGGCTCACTTCTACACAGAATCCCACTGATTCTCAACTTTCAAGATTAGCTTATGTCAAACAATCTCATCACAAAGAAAACTTTTTAATGAAAGTTGCTATGTTCCTCATTAAGTCCAGGAGAAAACTGAGTCTCATGTGTACCTGCCAAACAGAGAATTGCTTGTGATTGTTATTATAGAAAACATGTCAATCCTAGCTGTCTTTCTATGAATGCATAGCTGATTTTCTTCTCTTCCTTTTTTTAAGAGAAACAATACTATCAATCAAAGCAATTTAGAATGAAAACTTTCTGAAACAAATGGAAAATGTTCTTGCACAGGAGAATGAAACATATTTATTCAGCAATATAAATAAGGACCTTCTCAATACTCAAATAAGGAACAGCACAAGCCACATTGTCTGGTAGGTTGGTATAAATGTGGTCAATAAGAGAGTTTGATTTTTTGTTACCCTTTTGGCTCATTCACCAGCTGGACTAGGCCTAATGATTCACTACATTCCATCTAGTTGTTCCTTAATTGAGTATTGAGAAGGTCCAGTATTCTCATGTTTCCAAAAACCCTTGGGCCAGAGTCTCACTTAGCAAACCTTATTATGTATTTTGAATTTTAAAGACCATTGTCCCATGTTAAAAAAAATTGAATCTTTCTTGAATATTGTTACCTTAATAAACCCTCTTTTGAACCTTTGGGTGAATTTTCTTCTGAGAACCTTACCTGCATGACAGTTTTTTTCTTGCTTACCTTAGCATCTGCAGCTTCTTGAACTATTCATAAAGTGGGTCTATATCAGATTCAGTAGGAATTACAAGTCTCATTCACAAATCCATCTTCCATTGCTTGCTCATGTGATGAGATCCTCTATGTCATCTGTATCTGTGCTGGGGGTGATCAATATTCTAATACTTCTGTGACCAGTTAGGGCTCAGTGTTTTTATTTGGCAGTTTAGATAGGAAGTATCTTTTCCACCCCAGTAAAGGTTCAACTGATGCTTCATTAAATTTACACCATTTTTATAGATGGATTGCATTAATGTCAAGAAAGCTTTCCATTCCCTTACTAATATAAGCTGGTCTTTTATAAAAACTGCTTATTGGGCCTGCCTGACTCATTGGTTCTTGGAGACTATGATGAAAGCTGCATTTTGGTGCTCTGACACTTTTTGCTCATTTTATCTTCGCTTGCAAATGCAAAAGCATTTTTTTTCTTGGCTCAATGATTGTTACATAGAAAGTAAACCATTCAGATTCCTTGTCCTTGTTTTTATTTGCCAAGTGTGGGATCATCAGCTTCTAACCAAACTGACAGATTTGCATTAGCCACTGATATGGTATTTCTGACATTATATGTGGGTTTTTCTTTTTAGGGTGGTAGGATAAAACCTAATTTAATGATATGATGCTTGTTGCTGTAGCCAGATTTCCTCCACCTGCCCTACACTGATGTCCCTCTATGTTAGGCTGCTCCCTGGGGAAAAATGAATGACAGTAAACATGGGCATCATGAGTGGGGTGTCCTAGGGGCAATTCATTGTTCTGGAATATTCTTATTCACCCTTATGAGAGGATGAAGGGATGAATCATCATCATATGGTCTGTGTATTTTGTACCCAGAAAAGTACCAGCTGTGCAGTAGCAACATATAAGTATTACATTATTAAAAAAAGTTCCCCCCTTTCAACAAACCAAAACAGATTACAATATTACTTGCTATTTTAAAACTGGATATTTTACTCATTGGTTTGGAACTGGGTATTTTACTCAGAGGTTTGGAATTGGGTGTTTTACTTTAAGATGGGAACTGGGTATTTTACACAGAGGTTTGGAATTGGGTGTTTTACTTTAAGATGGGAACTGGGTATTTTACACAGAGGTTTGGAATTGGGTGTTTTACTTTAAGATGGGAACTGGGTATTTTACACAGAGGTTTGGAATTGGGTGTTTCACTTTAAGATTGGAACTGGGTATTTTACTCAGAGGTTTGGAATTGGGCATTTTATTATTTGGTTTGAAACTCATCATTTTACTCACTGGTTTAAAACTCGTCATTTTACTCAGTGTTAAGAACTGGATATTTTACTCAGTGGAGTGAATTGCATTGTTAAAATTTCATTATGGTATTTTGTAAACACTGGATGATACATTAGACTGAGTCTTAATCTTCTAGGCAATAATTATGCCTTTTAGAATACATAAAACAGTTTAGGACTAATTCAGGGTGCATTTGATTCTGTGGCTATCATTCAAAACTTGTCCCAATTGTTTAGTGTATATTAATCTGGTGCACCATAATAAACAACTGTGCTTACGGAAGGAACAAAAATGCACCGACAGGTTTGGACTAAATGCTTAAAATTTAATTGTTTAACATTATTTAAATACATCAAGTAATTTTTATGATTTTAGTTTTGTTTCTGTTGTAAAATATGCAAATGATTGACAAGTATCTCATCTGATAATATGCTAAATTGATCTACTGTAAAAAAAAATATTGAGGAAAATATGTGAATAACCGTCTTTTAATTCATTAGATTCTGCACATTTTACATTTTTCTCCGATTCAGATTAAAATTACCATTAAATGAGATATGCTCAGAGAAGTGTATATGTAATGAAAGCTGTATGGCTTTGTTAACTTTAAACAAGATATGCTTAGACAAGTGGTGTATTTGTAATGAAAGTTGTACAGCTTTGTTTCCTTGAAATGAGATGTGATTAGGCAAGGTTATATATAATCAAAGCTGTACAGCTTTGTTGCTTTGAAATGAGATATGCCCAGACAAGTGTCTTTGTAATGAAAGCTGTACGACTATTGCCTTGAAATGAGATATTTTTATTCAGGTTTATATGTAATCGTAGCTGTACAGCAATTGTTGCCTTGAAAGGAGATATGGTTAGGCAAGTGTATATGTAAATCAAAACTGTATAGCTTTGTTCTCATACTGACAGACTGATCAAAAGTGGCCTATCATTGAGTAGGTGCTATTATTTGCATGGAAAGAGTATTTGGTTCTTTTTCTTCTGCCATCTCAAAAGAGAATATTATATCAAGTACAGGAAGAATCTATGCTGAGGGGGCAGGGGCCAGTTTTTATGTACAAATTTAATGCGGCAATCAGTGACCTAGTACAAAAAATCATACAAAATCAAATACACAAGTGAGGTCAAGAATGTCCATATTTTGAGATACCTATATTAAAACAAAGCATAAAAATATTATCCACGTGACCAGAGAAGTCAGTGGCAGTTCATGGCAGAAGTTTATGCACCCCAACCCCAAATTTATACCTGCAATTTTTATGTCCGAAGGTCATTTTTGACACCATGTGGTACTCACAGTGCAAACACAAGCCCTTTTCCTAGATTACAATTCTGCCAAACAGTGTGTACTAAACAGGCTGATGCAGTTGAAAATAGTTGTCATCCAAGCCGTTTTTGAGATATGCTCCTTGTCCCCAACCCACATGTTTACTGTTAGGAGAGGCTAGCTCTTCTTCCTAGACAACTATTGGTATTTCACTATCAACATATTGCAGAGTAACTATGGAAGGTGTACATGCCTGACATCAATTTCAAGAACAACACAAGCTGGAAACACCTAGCTCACAAATATATCCATATATTTAATTAGTAGACAATAATTGCTGATAAAGTCACACCATACCCTCAAGTTAAGAAATTTGCCAGGGGCCAAATTACAAAAATGTACCCTGCCCCCAGAGCACATTCATGATAGTGGTAGGTGAATAAACTACTTTGCTTTAATTTCATATAATAATTGTTTAAAGACTATCCTTTTTCCTGGTTGGAGGTGGAAGGGAGGTGTGAAAAATTTCCATTGCAGTCATTGGTTTAATATGATTGGTATTTTCCTTACAATTACATGTTGCCATTTTAAAATAATTTGCTTTTCATATTCAAAAGATATCCAGATCAATAAGAATAAAAACAAAAATTTCAGGATTATAATAAAGGGTTAATGTTTTATGAAACACTTTAATTCCTACCACTGTTTATTGGACTCGAACAGATTGTGAAGATTTGGCTTGCATTCTAATGCTACACATACCAGGCTAGTTATGTTGTTGATATAGCAGCATTAGTCCACGGTATTGATTTTTAGGCTGACCAGTATGGTTATTCCACCAACTGACTGGTAATTTTATTTTAGGTGAAAACTGGACAGTTAGATTTATTCCAGGTGAAAATTGGGTATTATTATTTCTGCCACATTTTTCACATCAGGCAGCATTGTGTTTGCTTATAGCATTGTAAAATTGTGCAGTAACAATTCTTACACCACTGAAGTGTGAAGTTTATAGGTGTTGGAGTATATATGATATATATATATAATCATAGATGACTTAATTTTTGTTGAGCAAGGTGTGGAATTCGACATCAGTAAGGAATTTATCAGTCAGTATGAAGAATGTTTCTATAGTATTACTCATGTTGTACTCTTTCTATAGAGGGATGCAAATGTCAAATAAAAACAGTAAAATTGGCTACCTGTATACAATTAGACTTATTTGGGCTGTGTATTTGAACAAGGACTGATATCTTCCGTGTGACTTTTATTGAATTTGTATGAAACTTGGGGTTTCCACTCAGTAAAACTGATTGAACAAAACCTAAACAGGTTTATTAACATTACCGGTTTTATATTATTTGGTTTTATATTATTTGCGATTATTTGCAATACCAGTTTGTAGTTGAAGATACATTCTTGAAGTATGTGTTGCCATG